CAAAATGCACCAACAGTTGAGGCGCATACAAGTTTCGAGAAAACTTAAGCGTCATATTTCCTGTACATTGCTTAATTAACAAAGTGTAATATTTTTTGATTAATAAACTTACGCACTTACTTACTTTGAGTGTACACAAAACGTCTACAGAAACTCAAGTTGCTGATTTAATGACCAGAGCCTTGTTCAAACCAATATAATAAATAATAAATAATAAATAAATAAAAAAAATAAATAAGAACTTAACGATGGTTACTGCACTGCATAAACCAATTGAACTAATACAGTAGAGTGAAAAATATATATATTCTCCTTCTTCTTCTCCAACCCATCATAATCCATCGATCGAGGTCGCTGATCCTCTTGATTTTTTTCCCAGCTTCGTGGTACCAGTTCTGAATTACCTACATCTTGTGTCTTGCAAGGTGTCCTGCGAAAATTCATTTTCGATGAGGTACTTTTGCTGCTACGCCCTCCAACCGGGTTCTCGCTCTCATCGTCTTTTCAAAGAGTTCAGTTTTTTCTGCTACATGTCCCTTCCAATCGTAGGTAGTGGTCAGCCTATGGTATCTTTATTATTCGTCCAATTCCTGCTGTATGTTGGCTTTTATCATGTTTCAGTATCCGTCTCAGGTAAATGTATTGCCTGTAATGTGTGACTCTTCTCTCTTTTCTGGCTTTTTTTATCATCCCATGTTTGTTTCTTATTCCTCTTGCCAAGTGACTAATCATAAACTATAACTCTTCAGAAGTGTTAATCCGGAGTCTCATGCATCCGTTTTCCGACGTCCGATGTTCGAAAAACCTTCTATTCTGACATATTTTTATACGATTATGTCAGAATAGAAGGTTTTTCGGACGTCGAACGTCAGAAAACGGATGCATGAGACTCCGGCCTTAGAAATTCGTACGATGTCGTCAAAGAACCGTAGATGATGCAATGGTATAGTTATAGTTTCTTGATGTGACTCTATTGCCAGCGTGAAAACTGTAAAATTTTTCAGCGATATCACATCTCTCTGTCTGATTCCACTCCTGATTGAAATCCCATCGAAGTTCTTTTTCTATTGAATAATAGTTCTCTTTCAGCTGTTCTTGAAAGTGGCATTTCTCATTTCTGTAGTTGGTATGAATATGTTGTCTGTATTTCGAGTCTATTCAAAAGTATTCAATTCTCGTTCCTTACAGCTCAATGCATTCATAGCTTTTTGATACTTCTCGAAAGCGAGATGGTCAGTCAGAGGTACCAGAACCATGAAGCGCCTCGACTCAGCCTGTTCAAAAGAAGAACGGCATCATTTGTTTTCTCTGATATTTCCTCTAGACATGGGCTGCTCTTTAAAAAAATTAGGAAATATACTGGTGTATGGTGTATATTCTTCTTCTTCTTAACCTTCTTCTCATCATCCATCGATGGATGTCGTCGTGTCAATTTTTGCCCAGCATATTATGATCTTCATTGTAACAGTTCTGAATTACCTACATCTAGTGTCTTGCAAGGTGTCCAGCGGAAATCCATTTTGGATGAGTGAGTTTTGCTGCTACGTTTTCTGGTGTTTTTTATCATTATCACTCTAGTTTGTTTTTTATTCCTCTTAGCAAGTAATTAGTCATGAACTGTAGCTCTTCAGAAAAATTAGAAATTCGTACGATGTCGTCAAAGAACCGTAGATGATTCAATGGTATAGCATAGTTTTTGATATCACTCTATTTTCAGCATAAAAACCGCAAAACTTTTCAGTGATATCACATCTCTCTATCTGATTCCTCTCCTGATTGGAATCCGATCGAAGTTATTTTTCTCTTGCATAATAATAGTTCTCTTTCAGATATACTTCAAAGTGGCATTTCTTATTTCTGTAGTTGGTATGAATATGCTGTCTGTATTTCGAGTTTATTCAAAAGTATTCAATAATTCTCGTTAGCTCAATGCATTCATAGCTTTTTCTCATACTTCTCAAAAGCGGGATGGTCAGTCAGAGGTACCAAAACCATGGAAGGGCTGTTCAAAAGCAGAACGACAATGCTATCATTTCTCTTTTCTGATATTTCCGCAGCCTCTAGACATAGGAATAGGATGAATAGTCTCTTCAGGTGTTGATAGGATAGTCTCCTTTCCTTTTGTCATCATTTTAATTGCCAGTCACTGGTCTTTGCTTTATCAATTCCCTTGTTTCAGCGTTTTTCCTACCCTTTTTCCTGTATCTCTTCTGCCTTTGGTTTCTTTTCAGTTTCTAGAAGTTGTTTGTTCAATCCATCATCGATGTTGTTTATGTCATCCAGGGGCGGCTTCTCAATAAGTGCGCTCGTGCGCGCGCACTGCCTCCAAAAACCAAGCAAGAAAATAAAATTAAAATTTTGGAAAGAAAAGAAACTTCAATTAAAAAATACCTATCCAATTTTCTAAATTAGGATAAATATCTACTCATTTTTCTATTTTTAAATTCGCACGAACGGAACGAAAGCGCGCCCTGCGCCTGTCTTGTATATTTTTTTCTCCCGCTTGGTTATGCTGGTGGTCCGGGTGGTCGGTGTGGAATCGTTCGGCGCTCTGGGTAAATGTGTTTTCTCGCTGTGCGATTGATCGGGAATATACGGTAAAGTCGCCCGATGAAAGGGATGCGCCGTGCGCTATTTGAATACACACTTCCAATGTTGTTTTCACTCAATCGAGAATATTTCGATGTTTTTTCACCATTTTGGCGGTTTGACAACTTTGTTGTTCGCGGTTTTTTTTTTTAATTATAAATTTCAATATCAATTATGTATTATGGCTAGAATACAAACATTCAAGCCTCATTTAAATACATATATTTTTGTTTTCGATAATTTTTCCTAAAGTAAAAAGAAAAAAAATCAACATACAAAATAAATGTAAAACAGGACGTGGCACCTCCAAAAAATTTTCCAAGAGCGCACAACCACACTAGGTTGCCAGTGGCCGCCACTGATGTCATCTACCTCTGATATTTCTCCAAGCACCATTTTTACATAACAATATTGTTTTATTCCTGAACCAAAAACATTAATAACCAGGAAGGTTTAGGATGAGAGTCAATAACCCTCACCCTTTTTCCCTTTAAACTTGGCATCAACTCGGATTTTATCTCTCTGCAATCTAGAATCTGTCTGTCATGAATCTGGTGATATTAACCGAGAAACCTCAAAGTTGTATATATTTTCACACGAATAGAATTTTTTTTTTTGTTTTTTGTCATACCGTCTGGGCCCTCAATCTTTAAACAGGAGAGCAGCGTTCTCCTGTGAACGAGTGTTCCGCCTGTTACTCATATTATCATTTGTATATCATTGAGAAATGATATAGAAAAGAAATGATACAGCAACTGAAGCAAACATCGCAAGAGGTGGGACTAGAGATGGACAACGCAGAAGCCAAATTCATGAGTTTAAGTGGGGCAAACCTACTTACCATCGAAGGCCAAGAAATAGAAACTGTAGACGAATACGTTTATCTGGGGCACCAGATGAAGCGGGAAAGAGAACCAAAAGGCTCAAATCACCAGAAGCGTGAGCATGACCTAGGCAGCATTTGGAAGGTTGCGCTTTATCCTGAAAAGTCCTGATATTTTAATAAACATGGAAAGAAAAGTGCATGACATGTGCATACTCCCTGTACTGACTTACGGCCTGGAAGCTATGACACTAACCATATACAGAAGCCACAGAACAAGATATCAGCAGCTCGAGTCTGCTATTGCTTCAATAAATCAGGGTGTTCCACAGGGTTCGGTCCAAGGGCCCATCTTGTTTCTGCTTTATGTGAATGATATTGTCAACACTAACATCTCTGGATCTTTCACACTGTTCGCCGATGATACAACCCTTCTTTGGACAGAAAAGTCTCCAGTTACTTTAAAAGAGCAAATCTCGAATGATCTACTTAACAAGTTAAGGAATAGAGTCATTACTTCAACATATCTAGACTAACATATTAACCTTCCGGTTTATTTTTGAGAATTTAGGTGTACAGGCCCAACCTATTGCTTATAAGCCGGTTGCTAAGTTTTCAGGCATTCCTATAGTCAGTTTACTTAAGTTTCAAGATCATTTATTGGAAGTTAAAAGTAGGGTTTCTTCTGGATGTTATGTTATAAGGGCTATTATCCAATGAGCTTGGCACTTCTATGGAAAAGATCGCTTATCACGCTTTAGTAGAATCTCACTTACGCTACGGAATAGTTTTCTGAGGAGAAGTAGCCCCAGGTAAGAACTCTTGAAATAATGTTGGATATCTACATCCGAAGAGGCACAATAAGTTTTGATCAGCTCAATGAATGTGATGTAAATTATTTCTAAAAAAGTTTTTCAAATTCGAAGGTCAATATTAAACAATCAATGCATAAGGCCGTTTCGATCAATGAAGGGACAATTCTGCCTAGATACTATTCTAATCTTTCAGCAATGGTCAAATATTGAAAAACCCGATAAAGAAAACTGTTTTGATTATGAAAAATACCTTGGAGTTGATTTCGATAAATTGACAAAACAGAGTTTGATGTGTTGATCCTATAACATATGCATACCCATTAACAAGATCACAAATACCATAAGCTCAAGTGACATTCACTTATCATAATCTCAGCATATATCATATTTAAACGATCTTATCACACCCCAACGTCACTACACCCATTTATCAAAAACATCAATCCTATTTGACCGGCCCCTGAGGCTACCCTTTTGCGCAAAATTATCAGCTGCATCGACGACTTCACTTCTTTTAACTCATAATAACACAACGATACGATCTCGATTGGCTAGCTTGTTTACACATTGTATTATACGCTCCCATTATATGATATTAAACGGGCTATTATGCATTATTACATACACGGCAGGGGCATTATCTTAATCAGTACTACAAACTTCCGTTAAATTATTGAGCATATTATATTATAAGGGGTTAATCGGATTTGGTGCACACATCAGGGTAGAATTTTTTTTTTATAACCGTAATTTTATTTTTTTTATAAATTTCATCAATTAACTCTAAACAAACATTCACAACTATCTCCATCAAATTTCCTGTCATATTTCAATGGCTGACCTATAACTCTTAGCCATTTGAAAATGGCTGGATCATCTATAGCTTCACATAAACTAGTCCTTATAAGATGACATCTACTATAAGGACATTTCGAGCATGGATCACCTTTACTATAAACTTGCTTTCCAATCACATTTCCTCTTGGTCCATAATTGCATACTAATCGGTGCAAGTATTTAGCTTTAGGCTCTGTATCGATTTTGTTAAGGTATGTGGCTAAACCACAACCAATAAATCGGGTTTTAGCCCATACCAGCTGCGTGTATTGGCCAATGAAAAACTTGCCACGTCTAATACCAGAAAATACTTCCAAATCTGATGGTAACACATCTTGAACTTGTTTGAACCAATTTAATATCAAAATAGAAATTTCTGGAAAATCTTTAGTTGGAGTTGAGGCTGTTAAAACATTTTGACCAAGCTCGAAACGCGTCGTTGTTCTACATTGATCGTGTTGCGGTTGATCATAAGCTCCGAAGCACTGATCAGCCCATCTTTGAGCTATTTCTTCTAATTCGTTATCCCATTGGAGGATGTGCATGTTGGATGCTGCCGGTTGTCTACCTAAAATACCTCTGGTTTCTTGGCCGGATGCTATGTGGTTTCTTATATCATTATGGATATCGACTATGTATTTTTTTAGACTTGTGGTCATTTCCGGCTTCGTGTATTCTAGGCAATCGTCCGACGGGCCTTCTTTGTATAGGCAAAGAGTGTGAGTTCCTTTTTTGCATAGCTTGCAATATTCGAGGGCAAGGTTTACATTGAATTGGGAAAAATGTAGCAGTAATATGATATTAAGATAGTGCATACTTGTTTGTTTGGCAATGACAAATCCATTTATTGTGATTTCTGACAATGACGGTTATTGGCATTAGAGAGACTACACCATAGACAATAAAAAATAAAAAGACCTTCAAAAGTATAGCCGAAATAGGTTATACTATTACTGCGCATCCGGTTGCGCATAGCGCATTGCGGAATTTTTGGAAAGCTAGAGACTTACGAAAGATCATTCCGATCATTCGATTCTGTTTCATCTTTCTCTGTCATACCAATTCACAAGACAAGGACACCGTATGAGTTACAGAGCTTTCCTAGCTGTTTTGTAGAAACCTATCAAACATCCATAACTATAGAAACTGTGACCGAGAAAACAAAAAAGTAACCTTAAAATAACGACATTTCCGTGTTGAAATTTGTCATTTTTAACCGATTGGGCGGTCGTCTAAGACTCGAACTCACAAAATCTAAAGAACAAGAAGAAGAAATTGTCATTTTTATTAAGGCACTCGGTATCGCGTACCTATAATATTATGTACAACTAGGATAAACTGAACCAGTAAGTATACATGTTAGTTTTGTGATATACGGCATATTTTTTTACTGTTTTAGGAGACCTCAGTCAGAAGAGATAAAATGTAGATGTTAGGACTTGGCCAGCTTAGCTTGTACATACATTAAAGCATGTATAAGGGATGTAATAACTGTGTTTGTAAACTCTTTAGGTATTTGACCTATCTAGCTATAATATATATTTTTTCTATTACAATTTAGTGTTTATTTTGCCTTTTTTTTTAATCTACATCAAAAAATGGCACAAAACTTTATGGAGTATCACATCATTTTTCTCATTCGGATTTGGGAAAAAAAGATGTGGAACAACATAAGTAAGTTTTTTGTGCAATCAACTCAAGTCAAATTTCAAAATTCCCGCCATTTCAGTATTTGTTCCGGCTGCCACTATTGACGCCACCGTCGCTGTGACGTCAGCGCTATACAAACTTTCATGTTATCAATCAGGTACTCTTACCTTGGTTTATTATATTTCTCTATGGACTACACAGCACAAAGACAATTTCGCAACGTTTTGGTCAAAACAAAAAATAAATTCTAGTTCAGTTCATCTAGCTTCGTTATCGTCGAATTTCTCAAATTTTGAATAATAATGTCAACTCCTGCGTCTTTTTTGGCCTTACATTGTAGTCCACAAAGCTCCATTTCAACCTTCTGATGTATTTTATCCAGAACTTTCGTTATGCTTCTAATCCATTCATTAGTTCTTCGTTCAGTTAATACCTTACCCAACATCGCATCTTCCATAAATCTCTACGCGACCTATTTCAGAGTATGATAAGTTAATTGACTTAAGCTTGACAGTGCGCGAAAAATTCGAATTGTGTAAACGTAAAATCCCAAGATTCTTCAAAATTCTAGATTCTCCTTCATGGTACAAAACTACCAAAAAAGTGACAGATTGTAAGTGAGCAGAGAAGAACCACGCTGCTTTTCGCTTTTCTCTAGGCCTTTTTGCCAATTTCCTCACAAAATTTGTGGTGAATCGTTTCCCGAAAGGTAGCTTATTACTGTTTAATAGTGCCTTAGCAAGTTGCTGATTTGTTTAGTGGAAAGTTTTGAAATCGAAACCACGTTTTCACACATACGATCTCGTCTTTTTTATTCATTCAATTTGCCTTGCTCAATTTCTATTCACCAAGATTACCCATAGGAGCAGGTTTGCTGTTTCGTGTTTATTTGGGAACCATTAGAGTGCCTACTCTCTACCGTTATATTTTTATATATTTACGGATTATTAATTATTAAATAAGCCTATTTTAAGAATTATTTGATGGTAAGACATTCCATTTCAGATTATTTTACTTTAACTTACAACTACCTTTTTGATTGGAGTATTGAGATTATACCATTTACCCTACCTAACTACTTCAATAAAGTAGTAGCTACTTACTTATTTAAGCTTCTATTGTATTAAAAATCATGCACCAGAGTCGATTTTAAGCGCTTTCATTTCATTTTGTTCTATGTTACCCATTTAGGTTTTTGCAGTGCTTCCAATTAGATTGAGGGTTTCCTGTTTTTGGTTTATGATCGGTAGGGAAGTGAAACAGGTGTCGCCTTTTTTAGTTAACTCACCTCACTCTTCGCTGTGAGAGTTAGTTGAACACACTAAAAACAAAGCTCTAATTGCTCGATATTGCTCATTGGAGTACCTCAGTCACCTTTCTGTGTAATAATAAATTACTTTGCCCATTTGGCAAGGTAATAAATTGGCGCCCAACGTGGGGTCGGGTTTGTCCTCAATCTTTGGACAAACACACCAGATTTTTCCATTTGCTGGAATTTTGATTAATGTTTCAATTTCGTATTTGTTTTTTTTTCGTGGAACAATATTTAATCGTGATCAGTCTCTGGATATAACAAATCAATTTTAAATATATATTTTTATTGAGCAACAGGTTGTTACAATGGACGTTAACTTATTGGGTAATGAAGAACTTAAGTACGAGTTGGCAGTTCCAGGTTTACCAATAACAAGTAGGTACTTTCGCTCAGAGACGAGCAGTCCTTCGAAATGCTTTGAAGTTGGAACGTGAGGGTTCTCTTCAACCACCTTCTTCTTCACCTTCTGAATCAGTTAGCGAACTATGCTTGTGTGGTGCGAAATTGTATTAGGTCGAGCGTGATATTTTGAATATCGATGATTTCAACAAGGACTCTGACTTCAGAAAAATTAGCAAACTTCTTGAACACAATAAATTCAGAATAATTCGAATACTGCCCGACATTGATGCTGATCAGACTCTGAAGAATAATTTATGGGAACGCTTCGATAATCTATCCCAACAGTTACTTTCAAAATAAACGGACACGTCTGAACTGGTCTCTCCTGAACCTGAGGTATCCAACGATTTAATTTCTTTGGATGACAGCCAAGCACCATTGGAGACACATCAAGAGGTTTTTGATCCTCCCATCCACGAGCCTCGTTCTGGTCGTAGATTGGTTTCAGCTCCTAGGATTTCGAAAAAATCTTGGGACTATTCGAATTTTCTGGACTTACGTGGGCAGTCCTATCCAAACTAACCTTCTAATTTGTCCAGGAATACCTTGCAAGCTCAGAACAATAATTTTGCATCCCAATCACTCCAAGTCGATCATAATTCCCAATCTCAAGCTTCGTTTCGTGCAACACTTCCACCGACACATTCGTCGCACGCCTACTCCTCGAACGAATAATCCCCATCATTCTCTGATAGACGCGTTCCTTGCGAGTTTACACAGTCACTTAGTGTCATCGCAGACATCCGTTCCCACATCTTCTGGACTTTATGTTGCTCCGATTTCCAACAAATATTCTTGGTTACCTTCCAGTGCGGTACAGTCATCGTTACGCCAGGACAGGGATAACACATTTGTGATTCCCAATCAAGGACATTCTGATAGCATCAGACAAACTAGATATCAAAAAATGCCTTCAGCTGAAGCCAATGACTCTCGTGTACGATTTGCTGAGCTCGAAAATTTTGCTTCTCGTGCAAATTCCACTCAGCATTAGACAATTGCACTAACTGATTTAGTTCCAGGTTTTGCCAGAAGAATGGAGGAACTGCAATGATCCCCTCTCCGTGGCCCCTCCTTTTCTCACTCATATAAGCCACATACTCCTAGTTTCAAGGACATTAGTCGATGGTCTCTAAAATATGACAGTCAAGGAATTTTGTCGAACTTTTTAGAAAGAGTCGAAGAAATGCGTTATTCTATAGGAGTTTCCAAAAAACAATTACTTCGCTCTGCTCCAGAACTTCTTACAAAAGATGCCCTTCTTTGGTATCGAACTGGTGTTTTTAGTAGTTGGGATGATTTGATGCTCTGTAATGCCTTTATGCCTTATGACTACGAGCTTTCGCTCTGGGATGAGATTCGTCGAAGAACTCAGGCATCTCAGGAGAAAGTCATTTCCTCCAACCAAGTATAGACACTTGATCGAACCAGAATTAGCCTACGATAATAGACTGTGAGATAGGGGCTGTTTAGTGGAGTCATTTTTTATTGTCTGGCATTTTGAGGGCTGAATGTGGCTACTAAGCTGATGAGAATATGGGTGATTTTAATGCCGGCTTCCCGTTCGAAAATTTGCAGAAGAAAAAAATTGATTTACATGAAGAATTTTTTTTTAATGATCTCAAATTTTCTGGCTTTTAAATAAAAGATTCACATTGATAAATAATTCACCCATGAAAAATATCAGATGCTTTTCAATAGCTGAAAAAATGGGGATGGGTGTCAACTTCCAAGAGAAAAGAAAAGAACCTTCCGCGTTTACTTTTTGTCTGGCAATCGAGAGAATGAAAGGTTCTGTTGTGAAAATACCGCTGAAAAATCGCCAGACGGTAATCACAGTTCGAAACCGAGTTTTCCGGCGAAACATTCTGTGGACATTTCGAACAGGAGGCAGGCATTAAAACCACTTTTATTCTCATCAGCTAACTAGTCACATTCATCCCTCAAAATGCCAGACAAAAAAAAATGACTCCACTAAACAGGCCCTATCTCAGGGTCTACAAGCCCAACTATAGCGTCGATGTCGTAGATACTACGCACCTAGTTTCTGTTCCAGATATTCTTCCATCCAATCATTTTGTTAAGGTTGACGCCGTATCAGATTCAACAAAACAGGCTTCCTGTTGGTACTGTGGCAGGCCAGGTCACCGATTTAACCAATGTAAACAGCCTCGTAACCGTTTCTGTTACCGTTGCGGTTCTTCAAAAAACGAACAGAAGGTGAGAACTTAGGCCAAGCGCCTTATTGCGTTCAAGTAACAACTAATGAGGCAATCCTTCGATCTCAGATTTTGTTGGACTACGTTCTTTCTCATGCCAAAGACGATGAACGACCCTACTTGACAGTCCGTGCTTTTGGTCTATCACTTCTCGAGTTATTGGACAGTGGTGCCTCTAGAACCATCATCTGTGAGAGGTTGGAAAGGTCTGAAACCGCTATGCAAACTC